ATTTTTATATATTTTTTTATATGATTTATGTTTGATTAATTATTACTCTTTCCCTCTCTAATATTTTATTAAATTTTCTGAGTACTCAACAACGACAATCAATCAAGAAGAAAAGGAAATTTAATATATACAAAAACCTTTAATCTGAATACTATATATCTTCTCTTTAATCGCTCTGATGCCCATTCCAAGCTTCCTCATATACTCCACCTTCAACCACTAATAACATTCAGCATTTTCATCATACCCCGAATGAGAGTTAGGGTATTTGCAATAATAATGATATGCAACATTTCCAATGCACAATTGTTAACTTATTTGTTTAGTGCCTGACGATTTCCTGGAATACAGATTTCTGCTTTATGGAAACCAGTTACAACGTCAAGTTTAATTGAATTCACAGAAAATCAATTAAATTGTCGCTTCATTCATAAACGTGTGGCAGTTAAAAGATATAGATAGATGTAGATATTATCATATTTGATGACATTATAGTATAGGGTATTCACTAAGCAAACGAATTCTAGTCGAACTGAGGTATATTTATTGTTGGGATATTGTAAATCTATTAAATTTTCATATTATTTATTTGTATATCAAAGAAAACTCGCATTAGTTGTCTGTAGGGCATATCTTAGTCGTGTTCTCTATGCAATTGGCATAGCTAATACGTAGTTTACCCAATGCATGGAACGGGTTTTTTGCATCAACTTGTTATCAGCAGCTGAGCTGACATTTGTTGTTGATTCTCTTTGATACTAAATGAAATTGGAAATGCCCCAGAGTGAGCCCGACAATGTCAGGTCTAGCTATATATATTATATATAAACGTATACTCTACAATGCGACTGTAATGGAAATGTGAAAAGTTAAAAGTTTGTTGCACCTTTTATAAAATATTTAGCTCATCTATTCTACCTAGTTTTTCAGTACAGAGCATCTGCTAGCCGGGCCAACCCCACTACAATTTATTTTAATTGCTGCTGGCAGTAGAAGCGAAGACTTCATATTTTTGTATATGAGTAAAACTTTAAACAATTTTCAGATGCCCCAAAAGGCGAAAACTATTTTTGTGCATTGTTTTCACTTTGTGGAATACCCCCAGCCCCCAACCGCCGATCCCCAACCCCAGCCCGGCCCATTCCTAGCTGTAGCATGGTTCGTTACATCAACAATTATTTGAAACTTTTACCGCAAATATTTCCACGCCTGAAATAAATTGTAATAGAAGAAGTCTGCCTTTTGGTTTAACAGCTCGTATGATTGTGTCGGCGAGACTTTGGCTGTCCGCCGGAGCCAGAAGGCAGCAGCCGCAACCGGGGCAGCAGCTCAGCCAGGCGACTATGGGGAGGCGGGGGCGAGGGCGAGGGCGAGGGCGATGCTCGAGTTAATCCTTTTTGATTTTCGACTGCACCAAAATTCCAGCTAACAACAATTTGTGTGTAGCCCCAACCCAAGGGCGGTTGCTCTGGCAACAGGCAATGACTGCAATGGCTGCTCCTGTGTGTGTGTGTGTGTGGGAGCGGGGGGCAGTCAATATAGCCGGGCCTTACTGTTGCCATTTCGCATTGGGCGCGTGGAATTTGCAACGAGCTTCGCCATCTTTCATCTCTCATTTCAAAGTGAATTTTGCGACCATGCGAATTATGCTGCAAGAAGTCGAAGGGTTGGACAGCCACGCCCCCTTTCACTTGCCGCCTTCCTCACTGCTGCTTCTCGCTCCCTTTCATAAGAAATTAATTTAGACTTGTTTCAAGCTTGCCTTTGGCTACGAATGCAAACAGTGGGCCAATTGCTCGTTTTCTGTGACAAAAATGGAATTTGAACTATTTTATATTCATAAATCATTCATCATTTAAGGAAATTTGTATATCTCTATCGTTTTTTTTTTAGTTTTTTGTCGGGTTTATGTACCCCGATTGACCCACTGTGCTCTGGTTTATTGGCTCTTGAAGCAGACTTTGACTATGTGCTCCAATGCATTCAAATTTCATTCAGCTCAGCTCCTGCCAGCAATTGGAATACACTTTAAAGATTTCAATTGTTCGGGATTTTCTTTTCGAGCACGTGATGAGAGCGCGCGAGCTGTGGGCAAAGCCCAAGAAAACAGAAAAAACAACTGGGAGGCTAAGAATATGCTAGTCGACTGACTGCCTGACTGAGAGATACCCTGTCTTCGAGATTTATTATATATGTATATTCTAAGAGCAAAGTACATATGTACATACATTATAGCATATACACACTTACACATATTGAGAGCAGTCCATCATGGCAGTAATGTTCCCAGATAACTTTGCTTCTGGTCTCAGGATCTTAATGAAATTTTGGGAGCATATATACGACAGCTTAATGTGTCTGCATATAAATGTCGGATACTGTAACTATTTTTCTAAGGAAACTAATTCTACAGTATCGATCAGCCTTATATGTACTATGTTACATATTCATATACTTGACATACTTACCCTTTAAGGATACGTCATACCCCATTTAGTTAGTCTCACTGAAAGCCAGGGTATGGAAAAACCTGATAACAAGTGCAATTGCCGCAGCTTTGGCTGTTGGATTTTCTGCTGCTTTGGCGCTGCCTTCCGCTTGGCTGCTATAAAAGCAGCTGCTGCCGTTAATTCCACATCAGACTTAAAGCGAATCAATCGCAGCACAGACTTACTTTATATACATACACAAGATACATAGACTATATACAATCAACATGCAATTGATCAAGATTTGCGGCTTTGTCTTTGCTCTGATTGTGGCTATGGCCAGCGCTGAGCCGGAGCGTAAGTAAACCCTCTACCCCTAGCAGTTAGGGTATAGCCTGTAACTGTCTGTGTATCAACTATTCCTCACTAACTCTCTCTCTCTCTATTTTTCTCTCTCTCTCTTTCCAGCTCAAGGCACGCTGCTGATCCAAACAAATAGGGGTCAGGGCATTTTCAGAGGCTAAAACTTAACTTTTCGAGTTAACTTAAACTTCAATGTAAATAAAAATATTAAATTCGAAAACTAGAAAACTAGTATCTAATTAATTTATTTAACTTTTTACTCAAAGACTCAGCTGAGACCTTAAAAGGTCGAAGTTACAATAAAACTTTGCTTCCAAATAAAGATAGATAGAATATAATACTTAACTGGCATTGTGTAAAAGAGATATGTTTCCTAATGATCCTAGAGTAAAGAACAGTTTACTTAGACTTTTCGATCAAACTTTCATTATAGCCGAGATATGCTCAAAAATAATTCGCTTTAGTCTTCCTAATTGACTTTTATCGAGTATGGATAAAATAGTCTCTTTTAATCGGAACAGGAGCTAAACATACTACAAAGATTTATAAAAAGAACATAAGAAGTGAAATTTCGCAAATTACCTCTCAACAAAAAATGATTCCCATGTATTGCTTATGAATTTAACTCAACAGGAACAGAGCAACCTTTCTCTCTCTAACTTTCCCCTCTTTCTCTATTAATAACAGTTCAATGAAACGCAACGATCGCCCAGCGGCTTCTTCTGGCGGGCGTTCCACACGATGTTCCGTCCGCTCAGATCGCAAATGTCTCTGAAGCGAGCCAATTGCTCGGGGGCAATGTAGAAGGTGCGCGAGCAAATAACCCATAGGCTGGGCAGAACGAAGTTGCCGTTGGTATAGGTGCCGCGATAGCTGTAATAGTCGCTGCCGAAGCACCACATCAGGGTGGCCAGGTCGAAGGGCGGCAGCTCGATCGCTGAGCCGGCTGTGCGAATGGAGGCCAAATTGTTGATGATCTGATCGAACATATAGTTCTTCTGCTGTGCGAGATCGAACATGTAGGACACCGTTAGGTATTCGTAGGGGGCATCGCTAATGTTTGCGGCATGCAACACCTGCATCTCCATGGCATAATTGTGCGAGTCAATCGAGTGCTCCGAGCTCCATTTGAACGAAGCCTCCATAAAATAGTAGTTTGCTGGCAGATTCCCACCCGTAATGTACGGCGTATATTCCGGGGAACAGCAAATGCGCATTATCACCGTGCAGCCATTGTTCTCGAGTATCACGGCCGGTGGCAGCTCGTCGTAGCTGTACCAGCGCAGCGATTCCTGCAGCTCCATTTTGTAGGCCACGCAGCTCTCAATGTTAATTGGCGACGGCTGTCGCTCGATTAACGATCGGCGACGCTTGGGCTTGTGTATTTCAGTCAATATAACCGTCGCCGATTTCAAATGCGCCATCAAAATCGTCGCCATAATGCAGCTAAACAGAGCCATAAAATAATTCGACTCATAGACCGTGTCCATGAATTTGGCAACATAATTCGTAATGGTGTCCCAAAGTAAGGTAAGCACCCCAAGCAACATGATTAGCTAAGAGTTATAAAAGAAATGTAAACATAGAATTTAAAATTTAAAAATAAACAAAATTTGAAAAAATTAAAAAAAAAACCTTTCGGCGACTGCAAGATTTGAACCGGGGGCTGCTTGCTTACCGTGCGCACTCCTTGCCATTGCGCTACAGCTTTGACTTAGCTAAGATCACAAGCAAGAGCGAGACAGATAGAGTAACAGAAGCAAGCAAACAGCCATTGCTGTTAACATCAAGGCAACCAATTAACACCACTTTTATTATTGATTTCTTTATAATGTATTAGAAGACTTAGCTAAGATCACAAGCAAGAGTGAGACAGATAGAGAAGCAAGAACTAAGACAGAAGGAAGCAAACAGCCATTGCTGTTAAAATCAAGGCAACCTGTTAACACTACTTTTCTTATTGATTTCTTTATAATTAATTAAAAGAAATTATTCATTCTATATGCGTAAAGACTGTCCTACGGGAAAATGACTACGAAGAAATAATTTGTCTAACCTTTCTCAGTGTACTAAAGCAGTGAGACGAAATATTGAATTAGCCTGTTGAGATTAGGGTCAATAGTCATTGACTAACTGAGGCCTTAATAGCCTATTCGGAATGATTTGAAAGGGCGCACACTGCCTGCTGGCTCTGAATGGAGACTCATATGCAGTTTATGGGCTGATAATATGCCTGTGAAGGCTAACAAGAAGAGGATCTACGCAGACAGTTTTAGTGGGGACCCATTCAGGCTGTTGCATGGGCTTTGAAGTTTTGTTGCTCCACCACAGTGAGAGCTCATGAATTTAAGACTTTTAGTCGAGCCATAAACCAGTTGTGATAACAATGAGCAAAACACACACACACAGAGAGAGACAGGATATCCACAGGATGTGGCCAACAGTCCTGGCAGCAACTTATGTATATAAATACCTGACAGCGCAATGCACAACAGGCCAACAGCAGGACTCAGGGCTCGTCCTGTTGCTCCGGTTGCATCTCCTTTGCTGCTGCCAAACTTTGCCAACGCGTGCTTCATAAAATAGTCATAATGCATGTTTTTCGGGCTCGGCCTATTTGGCCATAAGCTAAAGGTAAACCCAAAGCCAAATGCTGAACTTTCTGCCATGTAATTATACGTGCACATGGCAAACAGGACAGCATGTCCTCCTCTCTGAGTGTGTGCGTGTGAGTGTGTGTGTGTCTCGTATTAGAAAGCCCATTAAAAGTTCGAGCCGCTGGGCGTGCAAAAAACAAAAGCTGAAATTGCATTGGGACTTGTTGGCGAGTCTATTAATTAAACACCTGCTAAAGCTAGACTAAAGTTGCATAAAGTACAAAATAGATTTTGCACAGTGTACAAAGTACAGTGAAGCCAAGCTAAGCATACCTAAACTGATGTAAGGCTACTTTGCTACTCTTAGCTTCAGCTTAAGTGAGCTACAATGGAAGGAGGAGTTTAAATGAGTTAATAGATCTTTGTGTGTGGGGCTTCACTGTGCTTAGCTTATTGCCTTTAGATCTACTACTTTTCTATGCTATAAATACGTGCAAACATGTTAAGCCCGAAAGTATGCAACAAATAAAGGTTATTGAAAATTTGAATAAGAGCAGTAAGGCTAGTCATCTCTCACTCCAAAAATGGAGCCATAAGCTCTAATTCTGCTATCAACAATGTAATTTTATTTCATAATTTCCTTGTTTAAGGAAATATTGTTGGCAAAAGAGAAAGAAAAACAACAACTAAACCGATGTTAATCAAGAAGAAGCAGCAGCAGCTTCAGTAGCAGATTGTTTGTTGCGGCTAAAGCAAATCACTATACACAAACACTAATAAGACCAAGGTACACACACACACACATACGTATTTGCTGCATTAGAGCCAGTGCCAAAAGCCGCAGCGAAACGTTTGCGATTGACAGGCTTAAGCTTTGCAGCTCGAATAGTTTTTCCTAGGCATGAGTGTGTAGGTGTGTGTTAGTGTGCGTGTAGTAGGGGTTTAATGAGGCAACGTCAATATAACTGCTGTGCAGTAATTAAATTGAAACCACACTGTGTAAACAGCAACAAAAACAAACACGAAAAAAGCTGAGGAAACATAGAGAAATTTCGCTGTACAAAGCTAAGCCGGCGGGAGAGCGATGCCTAAAGAGAGAGCGGGCAGGGGGCAATGGAAAGAGAGAGAGAGAGAGAGAGGGGCGTAAAATGATTACCTGCCAGCGTAAGTTTATTTATGGCTGCGCAAGCAAGTCATAAACAGCAGCACACGCAGGCAGACCAACAGAGAAAAAATCAGGTGGAGAGAGGGAGGGGGGGCCGCCGGTATACTGTACGAGAGGGGCGGTTAGGCATGCCTGTTGCAGGTCTAGGGCAGCTGCACACACGCCCACTTTGAAGAGAGAGAGAGAGCGAAAGGGAGCTGCAGGGCGGCTTTAAGTTGTTGCTGTTGTTGCTGTTGCTGCTGCTGCTGCTGCTGTTGTTGTTGTTGGCCTGGCCTGTTTGCCTGGCGATAACTTTTGACTCTCAAAGCACAAATATTGTAGAGTGCGTGTATTTACACACACACAGGCAGACAGAGCTCGTGTGCGTGTGTGCGCGTAGGCACAACTTAATATTGAATTTATTATATTTGTTGGCCATAGCTTTCTGGCTGCACTTGCAACAGGAAAACTGAAAAACTCGCTTGCAAATTATTTTGCAGGACAAACAGTTTTAATGCTCTCAGCCAATTGGCAACGCATGTGGTGGGGTATATAGGTATGGAGTGTGCGTATGTGACGGCTGGTAGAAATAGAGATGGAGAGTTGACTCGGAGTGCCTTTTCTATAAGATCGATAAGTCGGGAATTATACGATCTACAGTCTTTATACGTGGTATATGGATACTCAGAGTATACGCAAGTAAGAGGAGTTTCCTTTTTTGGATACCTTAGAAAGGTGTCATAATAGAGCACTATATTTCGCTTAAAGACTCAAGGAAACATAAGGACTAGATATTAGAAGGAAGTTACTCCATTTGACGGCCTGCAATATAACCAAAGGATATCTCCTCGTCGATCACCTTAATGCTCTTATAATATTTTCAAGTTCTCAGAATTGTTAGGGTATCTCTCAGTCCACCGCCGGAGCTACTCTCCCCACTTGCAGCACCGTTGCTGTTGGCTTTTATCGCAAGCAAAGTTCTGTTAGCCAAGTTAACAGCTGCATGCAATAAGTTACTGAATTATGCCAACAGGCCGCACAACTTTTCGGCCATTATTCACATGTTTTCGGGTTTCATAGACTCACCTTTCGGTCCCACCGCAAAGTCACGTCAATTACTTGAAGCGAATGCCAGCAACAAACGATAAACAATGCAAAACACCAAAAATAAATCAAAAATGTACAAAATAGTTTAAGTCTGTGTAAATTTAAGTTTCTGGTCTTTTTTTACTGTCTGTTCTGAGATACGAAACAATTTGGAAAACAGGCTCGCTTTGATCGTTCGACATGTGAGGTAAGACTGAAATCAGGTATAATAGAGCTTTTCAATAGAACCAAGATAAGTTCAAGTTGCTTTAGCCAAATATGTCAATTGAGTATTAACATTAGAAAAGTTGTAAGTAAAACTGAATTTGGTATTTTCTTAGTATTTTACTGTAGTACTTTACAGTATACTTCTTAGCAAGCTTTTAATCTGAATCTTACAGATATCCTATATTATTATTCTACTGTATATTTGAAATATCAGCACAAGCTTAACTATCTTGATGTTTGCTATAATCTCGTTGGCTCAATTTGGTTTATCTAGCATAACTCGAGTTTGATTAGAGCGATTGACTTCAAATTCAGCATATAGATGCTCCTGGAGTAGAGGAAAGTCATAACTAATTCCTTTTTTGGCTAACTGCATGTCATGTCCAATTTAAAATCATATAACTGATTTCAATTGTAATTGACTTTAGCTAAAATTCGATTATCAATTATCGAATAGATTATCTCATCAATTTCCACAAAATTCTTTGGCTCTTGAAGATTTTCTATTAAATTTTCATTTTTAATTTCATTCGAGTTTCCAAGGAATTTTCCTTTACATTTGCAATTTGGCAGCAAAATTCGAGTAGCATTTTAATTGTTGCCTCTCGCAATTTATTTCTGTTTAAAGTTTTCATTTTGTGCTTGCAGCTTGTCATTTTGTCAGGAGGCTTGTTATGCAATTTGAATGTTTTTCCATTTTCCATTTAGCATTTTCTATTTTCCACTTTTAATCAAATTAGCTGAGGCTCGGCCGAGCTGTTGCCCAGGCAGCCAACTGTCAACTGGCTGATAAGGATCAAATTGCCCAGCCCGAGGCTAGGCTAGACCATTGTGTAATCTCTCACTGTGACTGTGACAGTGACTGTGACTGCGACCGTGATTGTAACTGTGACTGCAGCTGCAACTGCAACTGCAACAGCAACTGCAACTGCTTGCTTCTTGACTCGAATGCCTGAAAGGGCAACAAATTGCTTGTTTGCTTGAAATTATGCAAATGCCAGCAAAAATGACGATGATAGAAAATAGAAAATGAGTTACATTTGCCCTTCTCCCTCGCCACGCTGCTGTTTACATAGCCCTCCCTCAGCAGAGCCGCCTCCTGCCGCTCGCCAAATCTTTTTAGACTGTTTTCTAATCCTGTGCCGGAATCAACGTTGCCTGCATTCAAACATTTTTCAGCACTCAGCTCAGCTCTCATCTCCGAGCTATTTGCTTTGAAGGAAATTGAAAAGAAATTATTATAACTCGTATTTGCAGTCGAGTCGAACGAGAGAGCAACAGAGTGGGAGTGAGAGAGACAGAGAGATTGAGCGCCTGCAGGCGCAGTTGCTGCTAAAGTTTTTGGTGACTTCCTCTAGCGCCTCGCAGTTGTTGTTTGTTGACCAGAGTGCAGAAATGTATGCAGAGTACGTTGTGCAGCGTAATGCTGGAAAATTTATTCCCATTACTTGGACTTTTGGTTGATAACTTCGCTCGGGTCTTCAAGCTCTCTTTGGGCATGTTATTAAAAAAGTTTGTTTTGTGCAACGAGAGTGAGTGAGAGAGCGAATGCGTCGCATGTTTGCTTTGCCCTCACTCTCTCTCTCCCCCTCTCGCTCATACACCGAAAAAAAACTTTCAAAATTAAAAGGATTAATCGGGTGGAGTGCAAGGAGTATATATACAATGTATACAAATCGTAAGGTAAATTCTCTTCCGCTCTCCCCATTGCCCACTCTCGCCCTCTCTCTTTCCTTCTATCTTATGACTGTCTCCTGTTTACGGCAAACTTTTTGATTGAAACTTTTGATGAAATACTTGACAGCAAAAAGGCAAGACAGAGAATAACTGCGACTGGAAGCATATTCACAAATGTTATTGCCAAAAATCATCAATGGAAAAACCAGCTGACACTTTTCCGGAAAAGTTGCGAATCCAAAACTTTGCCCTGTGCATGTGCAAAAAATATGTCAGCATGTAAATATTCAGCGTCTGTCTCTCTCGCTCTTATTGTCTAAGCAGAAGAATGCCTTCAGATAAATATTTTGTCATATCCTTGACTCAGTTCTTCAATTGCTTAGTAATTTCATTTAATTAAATAAAAGTAAATTTCGAAAACAACTATCTCCCTCACTCCTTTGTACCTCTTTGTCCGTTGTTCTTTCTTTCCCTCGACTTCTCTCTCTCTCTTTCTCTGTCTCTATATGCTTACGTAAATATTATCAATATATAAATTATATCTGTATATATTATTATTATGAACTATCTCTCTCTCTCTCTCTCTCTCGCTGTTTATTTTTCTCTACCTCTCTTTCAAAGTCTCCTTGCCTATGTGTCTCCACCTTTCCTTCGCATTTTTTACCTTTTTTCTCTAGCTCTGCGATTATCTTTTTCTGACTTTCATCTCTATGTCCTCAATGCTCTTTATACAGGGTATATATCTTATCAGTGTTTGTCAGTGTGTGTGTGCGTGTGTGTACTGGACACATGTTAAGGAAGCGAATGAGAAGTCAAAGTTTAGACCAAACGAAGCATCATCTTATGATCTGCCAATCGACCTGCTGCCTCCGCCCATTCAATGAGTTTTCGATTATGTATGATTGTGACAGCTGCAAGAAGAGGGAGAGAGAGTGAGAGAGATAGAGCTAGTTCCCACCGGCTGGCAGTGCATTTGCATTTGCATGCATAGTGTGGATGGCAAAACGCAATCTAATTCAATTTCTAATAATGCCCAAGCATAACTTTTGGCGATGCTTTGCTTTGTGCCCAACAAACTTTTGCACGTGGACTTCTCTGCTTCTTCTTTCTTCTCCTTCTGCTTTTTTTGTCAGTCAAAAGTTCCAATTGAAAACCAAAAGTTGGCCGAGACAGGCGAAGTGGGAGGGAGACCGAGAGAGCTAGCGAGAGTGAGAGTGCTTTTTAGTCTTGGACCTTTGCAGTCGTTGAAAGTGCATTTGTATACAATACATTCGACTTGTCCAAAACTTTTCCAGCTGCACTCGAGTGTGTGCTAGGTAGCTTGCATGTGTGTGAGTGTGAGAGGGTATGTGTGTGTGTGTGTGTGCGTGTGTCTGTGCGCAACAACAAGCTGTCAACACTTTGGCATTGACTTCCTTTGCAGCAGCTGCGGCACTCAGAGAAAATTCTACAGTAGCTAATAATAGTGAATTTACTAAAATAATAATAATAATGAATAAATAAAAAAATTAATAATTNTTTTATTTATTTATTTTTTTTTTTTCACTCTAGTTATTTACGCAAATTACTTGCGCTTATTTATGGACTATGCGCAATAATTTGGTGGTTTAGTTTTATAATGGCAACAGACTAATGAATATTTGGAGAATATTTTAATTATGTGATATGTTTTTTTAAGCCAAGCAAAAATATTTTAGTTTAAATTACTGAAAAAAATGTGAGCAAGACTCTAAATAAGTTATGGAAATCACTAAAAAAAAAAAAAAAAATAGTTAAAAATACAGAGGGAAAAAACTTACATAAATTAAGAGCTTACTCAAGCTATAAAATCTTAAAAGAGGATGAATAATAAAGCACAGCACTAAAATATTCCCTTTTACATATAAAAAATCACTATCCAAGCTCCCTGCCCTGACTAAACTCTATGAAATGTAATAAAAGAAAGCAAAATATTTTGCATTTTAAAGTTTGTAGACGCTAATGCAATTTGTTAGGCAACCCTTTAAGGAACGGCAAAGAAAAGTAATTTTATTCATGTTTAATAAATTCAATTTTAGAGTTAAGTAAATTAAGTTTCCTTCAATTGATAGAGAAGCCAATAATTCGTAAAGAGGCTACTTGGAGACAAAGTCAACTTGAATGCGGATTATTAGCTTAAGTTAAATGAACCGATTGGCAGTGGATGTGTGAGCTGTTTAAATTTAAGCAATTAAACTGACCCATTCATGAGCACAAGAGAGACTCGAGGATGGCAACTGCTTTTGTTTTCATCAATTTCGCTTTGCTGTCTGCTCTTGCCTGCCGTTTGCCTGTGGGGCTTCTTAGCTGCTGCTGCTGCTGCTGCTGCTGCTGCTGCTGTTGCTGCTTGTTGCTGTTGCTGTTGATTTTATATATTCAAATTAGTTCGTTTTGCACGAGTGGCACTCGAATAAAAGCTACGACCACTACTGCTGTTATATTTTTCAAGCCAGGAGACGAACTGCCCGACTGACTGAGTGACAGGGCGACTGACTGAGCGACTGACTGGATTGACTGGGTTGACTGCCTGATGGAATGTTTGCCTGTGAGTGGGCTCATTCAGCAGTGCTATCAAGTTGCCTGTGAAGTGCTTATCCTCAAATCAGTGACACTTGAATGTGCAGCACAAGTGACTGACCAAGCGGCAGCTGGGGAGGTGGAGCTCGAGACGGTTTGGCTGTGACAAAAGTGCGAAGCTCGCCTTCATTTATTTACTTTACCGTTTGCCGCCCTCCTCTAGCCATTTGCCAACTGGCTGGCTGGCTGGCAAATGTTGTGAAGTGTTGTTTGCGGCCCTGATTGAGTAGCTAAATAAAGTTGGACAAACGCCCCTTTGTTGCCTTTGCCATTGCCTTTGCCTTTGCCTTTGCCTTCCCCGTTGCCGTGGTGAGCGATTTATGGAACTACGTGTGAGCTCTGACGACGATGATGTTGTTGACGATGCCACTACTAATAGACTTAAGCGTATCAATTCTAGCCCAGACCAGAAAGTATTCAAGTCTCGCCCCTGACTGTCTGCAAAAATAAAATAGAAAGAAATACCAAACTTTACTCAAAGAGCAGAGGAAGTAGCAAAAGGTCTGCGAAATGAAATTAATCCAGTGAACTGCAACCAACTGTCAACTGGGCCATGGGCCGTACGCAACTTAATTATTAATAGAATTTTCGTTCGGAATTCGTTAGCTGACTGAGCGCAAAGCCAAGTAAAATATTTCAAAAGCTCCGCCTGACA